GCAAAACAATTTAAAAAAACTAAATAAGATTGTCTTTTAAAACTGCAATAGCCTACACGCACTGCTTAAATATAATAATACTTTTTACATGTTGGTGTGTGCTTAGCATGTATTGATTTTTTTTTAATCATTAATTTGATAATAAATCCTCAAATCTTATTTAATTTTTAATTCACTATTAACTTTTCAATTAAATCTCAATTTTTATTCAGTTTAATTTCTAATTTGATAATACTTCTTCAATTAGAGATCGGACCTCATCTCACCTCATCCTTGTACTTTATATTAAATATCTGATTTAATATTGATTTCATCTAACCTGATTTCATCTAACCCAAGTTTAAATAATGTCCAACTGACAATAGAATAGGAAAAGGGAAAGAAAAAATATAGTTGTTTGATTGATTAAACACATTATAATCATGTTTATGATCTGAATTGTATATTTAATTTATCTAATCCAAGTTTAAATAACGTCCAACTGACAATAGAATAAGAAAAGGAAAAGGAAAAATAGAGTTGTTTTATTGATTAAGCATATTATAATTATGTTTATGATCTGAATTGTATATTTAATATTTACTTTAGTTAATCATGTATGATTTAATATGTTGTCCTCCAAGTATTAAAACAAACAAAAATACTATTTTTTTTAAATCTATCCATATTTTTCCATGTTTTTTAGATAGTTTTGGACATGTCCAATCATTTGACTCACCCCGTAACAAATCCCACACGGTTTGATTTGAATCTCAGCTTTGGCAATCACTCAGGTCAAGCGTTTTCAAGGTTAGGTCGCGGGTCCATGTTTATTGATATTACCAATGACTTTCTCAATGCCGCCCATTTTTTTAGATTTTTTTCATAATAAAAGGAGTTTGACCATTGTTGACTAATGAGCATGAGTTACGAAACTAGCTAAACTAGAGTAAAAACTGATTTCTTTACTATTATTAGGCCTTCTATTTGAATCCTTTTAAAGCCTCATGCTTTCAAGCAAGGTTTGGATGCAATAAATAGAGAAATAATCGACATATTTCACTATACTTTATACTTTAAAAGAAAAGGAAAAAAACCACTTTAAAACCGTCGCTGAAAAAAAATATTTTATGTCTTTGTTACCATCACTGTTCGAAGGCAACCTAGTGATCAAAAGCTGTCAATGAAGTTTTGGATTGGTCCAATTGTGCATGTTAATGTTTGCAGAGTTTTGATCTAAGATTTTCTGCAAAAAGAGGGACAGAGATTTTATTCGGAAAATGAATGGACAATAAGCATTACCCTGGTTTTTGGTGTCACTTTCTGTACATGTTCACTGCCACAAATGCTGTTCAATCACCTTCCATGTAGACTAAAAATAGGAATCCTTGATAAAGATTATTTCCCATTTATAGCATTCTTGCTTGATCAGAAAAGGCATTGTTCCTTTTACATCCATCACTTTTAATTTCTTGATTGTCAATGGTAGAAACTTTTACTCAACCCTTGATGCTCCCTTTTCTCCATTTTTGTCCTTCTCCGACATGAATCGTTTCTTTTATACAGTAGGGTTAATATTCCTCTTCAGCTTGTTCATACTCTTTTCTCCGAAGACATCTGATTTGTCAAATAACGAGGACCTTCATCAACAGCTATTGATTTCTCTGCAGAAGGGTAAATTCTGAATTCTGATGTCAGGAAAGGGGGGGAAAATCCCATTTCTGTTTATTGATTTTTTTCCTGTCAATCCTTTTCTTTTTTTTCAATTCTTTAGAAGAAGAACGATGTGACTTGTTTTGTGGACACTGGGTTCAAGACCTGAGAGGTTCTCAATATACAAATGTAAGCTGTTCATCTATCCCTGAATCGAAGAATTGCTTCATGCAAGGAAGGCCAGACTCAGGATTTTTGCAGTGGAGGTGGAAACCCGACGGGTGTGAGCTTCCAAGATTTGATCCCGGAACATTTTTTGAGATTGTCAGGGGAAAGACGATGGCGTTTATCGGAGACTCGGTCGCTCGAAACCATGTAGAATCACTTCTCTGCCTCTTGTCATCGGTTAGTTCATGTAATTCTTTTCCTGTAGTTGACTTGGCAAAATCAATGGATTGTATATCCCATTGATTTTGGAACGGAATCCCCCATTTTTATGACCTCTGTGTCTTAACAGATTTTGGACTTTTTCAGGAAGAAATGCCACTGGGCATCTACAAGGATACTGAAGATCGTACGAGAACATGGTATTTTCCTCACAGTAATTTTACCCTAATGGTCATCTGGACTAGATTCCTAGTACTTGATGAGGAGAGGGTGATTAATGGTAGTGTTACAGGTGTTTTTGACCTGCATCTTGAAAAGATGGACAAGAACTGGGCAAGCAAACTCCCAGAAATAGACTACGCAATCCTATCGGATGCTCATTGGTTCTTCAGGAAGAACTACCTGTACGAGAAAGGCGAGAACATAGGATGCATATTCTGCGGTGAACCAGGCATCAAAAGCTTGGACATTGATTCCGCCCTCCAGATGGTAATCAAGGTTGTGCTCAATTATATCAACAACTGCAAAAAGTGCAGGAATATTTTGACTGTGTTAAGGACATTCTCACCTGCACATTTTGCGGATGGAGCATGGGACACAGGAGGGAGCTGCAATAGAACGCATCCACTCGGTGAGAAAGAGATCGACTTGGCAAGTTTAGACTGGAAAATCAGAAGCATGCAAGTAGAAGAAATTAAAAGAGTAAGACCAGTAGCAAGGAGAAGGAAAAAATTTGAAGTTTTGGATGTCACCAAGGCTATGCTGATGAGACCTGACGGGCACCCTAATTCCTACTGGGGTAACAAATGGATGAAAGGCTACAACGACTGTGTCCATTGGTGCATGCCAGGACCCATCGATGCATGGAATGATTTCTTGATAGCATTGCTGAGAAGACATGCATTTACCGATTTCACCTGGTCATGACCTGGAGCTAAAATGTGGTACTCTCCCTACAGGTTTGCATGGGGAATAATTGATAGGTCTGTCATTTCTTTCCCAGATATAAAAATGATAATAAATTTCTTTCTACCATGCAAACTATATTGAACACCATGGCAGAAAATGCATCCATCCTCTCAAAAGCTCCTGGAAGCATGAAATCCTAGGTGCTAGTATAATCCACCTCCTTTTTTTTAGAAAAAAGAAAAGGAAATGGAAAAACTAAAGCAAACTCAGCAGTGTCCTTCAAAAACAAATTTTAGATTCGAGATTTGCAAAAAAGGACCCTCCAGGATCCATCAATGTAGGGTCAGTAAGTCATGAAGTAGTAGCGCCTAAATTCAAGAAACACTATCGTCTACTGCTCTTTCCAGAAATGCAAGAAACGACGACCCTGAAAATCATCTGATGCAGAAGAAGTACATGCAAAAGTCTAAGCTGATCATGGATATCCATTTATGGAATTCGATTAATCATTGGTTAAGTGAAATGATTCGCAGAAGACCAAGTATCAAAATCGTATTTCATTAAAATATGACTAATCCAACTATACATGAACTCACCAGCAGCTAAACACATTTGTATACCTCTGTTCCATTGCATTTGAGATTCTAAGTTTCAACTTCTCTTATCCTTGAAAATCTAAACCATCCAAGGAAAAGTAAATAAATTTGAAAAGTATTACTGCCCTTCTTGAGAAAACTGGACAGAAGGACCACGAATCATATCAACTAGCTCTTCATTAAGCGCTTCAAGATCACCAGAGTGGCATAGTTGACGGTGGAAAGGGGTAAGGTAATTTGCAGCAACTTCAGCCAATTTCCAAGGAAAAGACTCTGAAGCAATATTGATTATTTTAGTAGTCAGGTGTCTGGCTGAATGCAGAAAGGATACAATCACTTTATAGCTGAACGTTTAAATTCCTTTTTTTGGTTATTTGAAATCCAACAAGAAGACTCACACAAAATCTAGATTACAAATTAAGAGAATTAATTTAAATTGGTAATAAAACAATATCATTTTTTTTTCAACTTTTAACCAGTTAATCAAGCCATTCATCTTAATGGATTGATGAATTTAACCAGATCAACTCACTTCCAAGTTGACCCGCCAGTGAAGTCTATAACAATAGGATTTGGAAATCATGGAACAAAAGGCAACCTTAATTTAGTCAAATTAAAACCATTAATTAACATCAGCTTGATCTTATCACTTCTTTTCTCGACTTTCTTGAAGCAAACTAGAAAAAGAATACAAGAAAACGGTCCATTAACACTCCTCAACCTTTGGTGGACGCAAGAGGAGTGATACAACTCGTATATTTTTATGTTTTAAAAGCTATTTTTTTAATAAACAAATTATTTATTTAAAATTAATTTTTTTTAGCATTCAAATCGTTTTGATACGTTGATATTAAAATATATAAATATATATATATTGCACTCTTCATCTTTCTTGCAGCACCATCAGGGTTGTCATGGTGAGGCTGAGACTGGTAAGGTTTGGACATTTTGGATGTAGCAGTATGGGTTAATAAAAAAATTATTTGTTTAAAATTAATTTTTTTAGCATTCAAATCGTATTGATACGTTGATATTAAAAAATATATATATATATTGCACTCTTAATCTTTCTTGCAGCACCATGAGGGTTGTCATGGTGAGGCTGAGACTGGTCAGGGTTGGACATTTTGGATGTAGCAGTATGGGTAGGCTTATTATTATGACCACTAGAGAAGAGATCAACTGGTTCGGAATCAGCAATCTTCCCTCTTTGCCATTAACATTTTATCTTCTGATAGTTTTGCCTGTGCTGTTCCATGCTTTACATCATCCTTATTCTTTGCCATCTTTCTCTCTATGATCCGTCTGATATCTGTAAATGTTTCTCTCTAAGTGTTTTTAATGCTAGAGAAGAGATCAACGTCTGGTTCGGAATTCAATCTTCCCTCCTCCTAGGGGACTGCCATGCTTGTATGCCACCCTTAACATTTCATCTTCTGATAGCTTTGCCTGTGCTGTTCCATGCTTTACATCATCCTTATTCTTTGCCATCTTTCTCTCTATGATCTGTCTGATATCTGTAATTTAGGAAATGTTTCTTCTATGTGTTGGCTTAGAAGATGCATATGCCCCTCCATTTTACATGCAGTCATTGGAGCATTTGCGTGTTGGTTTCTCTAAGCTGGGTTTGACAGGTATGGCTGAAAATGCTAGGTGGCTCGTGTTCTTGTTTGCACGTCGATATTCACGCTTGTTAGACCCCGCCCAGCTATCACACAGAAAATCCAAGTTAATTTACAGATCAACAGCTCGATCCCATAATACTTTTTTAGATTTATTGGCGTTGATTTGATTGAATTTGAAATAGATTTATTCAATCAATCGAATTATGAATCAATTAAGTTCCGTAAGTTAATATCTTTTTTTAATTTAAATTAAAATTAGTTATCAACTTTAAATTATTTTTTTATAATTTAAATTAAAATTCGAAGGAGATAATTAAATAGAAAACAACTAATTATAAATGATTCATTACTTGGCATCGATGATTAATAGGTGCATCAATTAGCTAAACCTCCTATGTGTGCTTGAAATGGAAAAATTTTCACAAAGTAAATGTAAATTGTGTATTTAATATCTTGGCGCAGTGTATTTTTTAAAAATAGTTTTTAAAAAAAAATTATTAAAATAATTTTTTAAATATGCACATCAAAACTATCAAGAAATACTAAAAAAATCAATATGTTTTCTTCTCAAATAAAATGTATTTTTAAAATACATTTAAAAATAAAAATTAATTACATCATTTTCAATAAATCTGTAAATTGTTGGATCTATATCATTTTTCAAGAATGATTTAATTTTCTTTTTATTAATCATGCCTAAACCTAGTAAAAAATATAGGTAGGATCATAAGATTATAGTTGTTTGACTTGATTTCTCTTGATAAGTTGATATAAAATTTTATTATAAATTGAATAAAATATATTAATCTAATAAAATTTAGTTTACTTGATTATATATTTTTAATTATATAAAAAAATATATATGAAGCTTGGTATTAATTGTTGTTTTTTAAAATATTTTTTATTTGAAAATATATTTTTTAATTTTTTAAAATTTATTCTTAATATTAGTATATCAAAATAATTTAAAAATAAAAAATTAATTTTTAAAAATTAAAATTAAAAAAATTAAATTCGTATTATAAACTTAATACAAGGGGATTAACACTAAAAAAATTTAAAAGAAAAATGAAACGATTGACTCGCTTACCCAAACTTAAGGCATTTTTTTAGTTTGTTTCTTACCAGGACAGCTATGCATTAGACTTGTAATTAGGTAAACGACAACGCGTGCTCTACACCACGAGCATAGTTTGAAAAATAAGAGTGTGGAAACGTCTCTCTCTTTGGTGTTTTTGACGGTATCCTCTACAGCATACACTTGGAGGAGGATAATGAAATGAAAGGGCTGCAAAGTTACGGATAGAATGAGACTGGACTGAACCTCAAGAGCAGCACAAGAAGACCCTCCTCCAAACACAGCTAGCTTTCTTCTCCTCCCTCAACCCCAGTCCTCCATTTTCGGCTTCAACTTTTTGCATGGTATAACTGATACTCAGTGAAAGTTAAGTGATACTCAGTGTATGTTAACACTTTTTGTTTCCTTCAATTTTTTTCTTTTTTTATGTTTTTCTTTTAGGTTGTTATTGCTTAAAGTCTAAAGTTTCAAGTCTTCAATCACTTAGGGAAACCACAAAGTTTGATCTTTTTGGTCTGTGCTAAAGAGCCAAAGCTGAAATTTTGAATTTTGCTTTTCATTTTCTGTTGGCAATGGCAACTTTGGTGAATTCGGTGACTCCTTTAACAAACCCTTCTCCAGAGACTGCCCGAACAGCTTGTGGGTTCTTTTCTAATGTCCCAAATTTCCATTCTTTTTCACTAAATAAAGGTTTCACTAGAGTTTTGGCATCAACCCAGATCACAATTTCACCTAAAGACTCTGTTTTGACACTGCCCAATTGGAAGGTTGGTAGGAATGGCACAAGAAATAGGGAGATTAGGCTTAATGATGCGTTTTTCCATTTAGAGTTTATTGTTGGGAAGGGTCATAAACCTGATGTTGCTCAAGCAACACAGCTGTTGTATGATTTGTGCAAGTCGAATAAGATGAAGAAAGCGACGAGGGTGATGGAAATGATGATTGAGTCTGGTATTATTCCTGATGCAGCTTCTTATACTTTTTTGGTGAACAATTTGTGTAAGAGAGGGAATATTGGGTATGCAATGCAGTTAGTTGAGAAAATGGAGGAAAATGGCTATCCAACCAACACGGTTACCTATAATTCGCTTGTTAGAGGGCTTTGCATGCATGGAAACTTGAATCAAAGCTTGCAGTTACTAGATAAGCTGATGTGGAAAGGGTTGGTCCCGAATGAATTTACTTATTCTTTCTTGCTTGAAGCAGCTTACAAGGAGAGAGGTGTGAATGAAGCGATGAAGCTTTTGGATGAGATAATTGCGAAGGGTTGGCAGCCTAACTTGGTTAGTTACAATGTTTTATTAACTGGATTATGCAAGGAAGGCAGGACGGAAGAGGCGATTCAGTTCTTCAGGGATTTGCCATCAAAGGGTTTTAATCCGAATGTTGTGAGTTATAATATTATACTCAGGAGTTTGTGCTATGAAGGAAGATGGGAGGAGGCAAACCAGCTCCTGGCTGAGATGGATTCTGAGGAGCGTTCACCTTCTCTGGTTACATACAATATACTAATTGGTTCACTTGCCTTCCATGGCAGGATTGAACATGCATTTGAAGTTTTGGATGAAATGGTGAGGGCATCATTTAAGCCCTCTGCCGCAACCTATAACCCTATAATTGCTCATCTTTGCAAAGAGGGGAAGTTGGACCTTGTGATTAATTGTCTAGACCAAATGATTCATCACCGCTGTAATCCCAATGAGGGAACGTTTAATGCCATTGCTGTGCTTTGCAAGCAGGGAAGGGTGCCAGAGGCATTCTCCATAATTCAAAACTTGGGTAATAAGCAAAGGTCATCCACCCATGACTTCTACAAAGGTGTGATTACGAGCTTGTGTAGAAAAGGGAACACGTATCCAGCATTTCAGCTTTTATACGAGATGACAAAGTTTGGATTTGTTCCTGATCCTTATACCTATTCATCTTTGATTAGAGGGTTGTGCATTGAGGGAATGCTGGACGAGGCCTTGGAGATTTTCAGGCTTTTGGAAGAAAATGACTATAGGCCTATTCTTGACAATTTCAATGCCCTTATACTTGGATTTTGTAAATCTGGTAGAACAGATTTGTCCCTGGATATTTTTGAGATGATGGTTGAGAAAGGATACACACCGAATGAAACAACTTATACCATTATAGTAGAAGGGATTGCCCATGAAGAAGAAAAGGAGCTGGCAGCAGAAGTTTTAGAAGAGTTGCTCCTCAGACAAGTCATGAGACGAAATACAGCAGAAAGACTTGTTTTGCAATACAACCTCGAGGCTTTAGCAGTATGAAATTGCATGCATCATCCAGATTAAGAACACGAAAGGGGAACATGGAATGAAGGTACTTTGAGCAAGCGTGTTCATCAATGCCAATGTCCACGCTTCGTCAGAAATTTGTATTGTGACATTCCGATCAAGACTGGGAAATCAAGAATTCTGCATATTGAAATTGAAAGAGATTGTCACAACACTGGAATGTGTTGAATGTTTTGACAATGAGGAAGGAGCACAGGTTCAAACAATAGGATTCTTGGCTATGTACTTTTATTCCTGTATTCGCATCACCGTGGGTTCTGTGAGCTGAAAATTGTACAGAGAACTTGCATCTTTATTTTATGCTGTGCAAGTCAAATTTCACGATTCATCTGACATGATCGTACAAATTATTCATTATGACTTGGGCTTTTCACTCGTGATCGAAAATGCTTGTTGCTCCGCTCGCCTTATGTATGCAGTATGATCCTGGCTGACCCCTATATTCTTGCAAGGTTCTGCATCTGATTTTGTGCCATTTGTGTTGATGTAAATTGCTTTGCCCTGCAATATGAGAACATACATCATAGGAACCATCTTGTCTGCGTGCCTTGCGCATTTACTTGTTCATGTTCGTGTTAATGTTCATCTTATGCCAGAGAGGCAAAATCCGTTGATTTCAAAGAGAGAGAACAAGATCCTGTTTCACCCGCGGCTTGCCATCAAGCTGACAAGGCAGGATCACCCTCACCATATTATTGCTAGACTCGCTCCTTTTGTTCAGTATTCACAATTCCGTAACCGGGATGAAAAGCCTGGAAAAGCATTCTCCACCCGGGGAAGTAGTTCATGAGGCTTTGCCAACAAAATTCGAACATCTATCACAATTCCAGATTTGTGTATGTTTTTGTCTTCCATGGACAGCAGTTTATGTACTTTCAGAATCTTTTTGCGTTTTTCTTTGAGGGAAGGCTTACATAAACTATACACCCAAACATAGCAACTCATGAATCCAAAAAGGCTTACATAAGCCATACAACACGAACAATCCTTACACCACTCTAGATTCCAGTCACTTTGCGTAATGGGGTAACAACTAACAATTAAACTCAAATTCAAAGCAGACGAAATTCAGTACAAGGTAGATGTAAATCAATAAGGTTTGTGATTCCATGGCATATCTAATGGTTAAAACCACCTTCTGATGCCACATCTTGCATTCCTTGTGAATTAGAAACCCATCGCGTATCAGATAGGTCTGTTTCAAAAATAGCCACGGAGTGATAAACTTGTACAAGGCAGAAGTAAATCAAGGTGTGCTATTCCATGGCATACCCAATGGTTAAAACGACCTTCAGATGCCGCTTCTTGCATTCCTAGTGAATTAGAAACCTACCGCCTATCAGAAAGGTGTTTAAAAAATCAGCCACGAAGTTAAGACTCTAAACTATGCTCAAACTCTAGTAAAAATCTTGATCACCATTGTGGAAAACAATTCATAGAAGTTCATTTCTGTTTTAATCATTTTCTAAAAAAGTTTCATTCATCCATCCATAAGCAATATTAAAGTAAAGAAGTCAAATACAACACAAAATTAAAGCCAACAGAATACTAAATGCAGAAGCAGTCTTGAAAACCTACAAGATGAAACATTCCCTTATACACATCCCTCATCCCCACAGCTTCACGCAGCACCAAGCCATAAGCATCATAGGCATGTACCAGTAGAAAAAAGATCCATCTTGTCCAAGCCCGCAGCCTACTTGGATCTCTGCCTCATCTTTCTGCGCTTCCTCTTCAACCTCCTCATACGCTTCTTCTTCCACTGAAAAGAATAAAAAATAACAAAATAGTTTAGTCAAAAACCTTCCGAAACAGATCCCAAGAATTCCACAGCGGTCACAAACTCAAAAACGCTTTACATGTTTAAATAGGCACCAAGTCTTGAAAGAATCAATGGATCTCAAATCAAACAAACCAAGTTACGCGAAACAAAGGCACTAAAACCAGCAAAAGAAAAAACTGTACGGCAAACTCAACATCGCATAAAAATAGTGTCTAAACAGCATTAAGAACATGTAAATTCCAAGATTAACGAAATCATTTGCAAAATCCCTTGTTTCGTAAAAAAAGAAGCAACAACAAGCATTATTCCAACCTAACAAATCACATGCTTTAGACTAGAAAAGCACACAGATTTGATTATCTAGCTAAAAACTAAAATCCCAGATTACAAACATAAAGAAAGATTCCACAGAAATAAAAAAAGAAACGAACTTGAAGAAGAGACCTAAGAAATCATGATAAACATTCACTATCTATACCAGATTAGATAATCTAAACAACACCCGTTGCACAGAATCATTCTGAGTTAAAACCCATTAAGGGAAATGAAGAGCGGAAGACATACCTTAGCTCTCATCCTGGATCAGAGGTATCTGTTTCCTTGTAGATTTCTTTCTCAATTAGCCGATGTAGAGTGGATGAGATTCCTGGAGAGTGAGTTTTTGAGAGAAAGATGGGGTTCAACGCATTTTATAGGCACAGGGTTTTTAGGGTTTGAGAGTCACGGTTGAGGGGTATTCTTGTCCAATATGTTTGCTCTTTTCTCTTTCTTTTTCTTTTCTCTTTTTTGTTTTTGATATTATTTAGCATTTTTTGAAGGAATTGAACTCTGTAAATTCTCTTTTTTTTTTATATTATTTAGCAATTTTTGAAGGAATTGAACTCTGTAAATTCTATTATGGTTTTATGTTGTATTTTTTAATATTATGATATCACCATTATTTAATAGTTTGGAAAGGGGGTGTAACTGTATTTTTTTAAAAAATAATTTTTAATATATTTTAAATTATTTTAATATACTAATCTCAAAAATAATTTTTAAAAAATTAAAAAATATTATTTTAATTTATTTTAATATAAAATATATTTTAAAAAACAACTACAACCAACTTTCAAATAAACTCTAATATTAAAAATTATAACATTGTAAATGTGTTCATGGACTGGATTTTAATAAAATAAAGCTCCCAAAAAAAAAATCTAATTACATGAAATGTATAGTATCATTGAATTAGATTATGATTTTAATAGATTATTTTATCAGTCTAGTTTCATAGCTTAATATAATCAGCCAAAATCAAAAAAATGTTAGAATGAGATGTTATTTTATTGTTTTAATTAAATTTTAGTTATTTTTAATTTTTAATTTTTTTCTTCTAATTAACTTTGAATTCTTTTAGTTAAGTAGGTGTTTACCTCTGTGTAAATAATTCAAAGACTTTGTTAGAATATATTAAAGTTTTTATCTATACATAATCTTATAACTTCCATAGCCTTAGTTTCTATTTATGCTTTACATTATGTCAGATTAATGAGTCATTCCAGCCCTTTTCTTTTTTAAGCTCACTCCATTAAAAAAAATCAAGAAATTTGATATATATATATATATATATAAAAATCGAATAAATGCATTAACTAGACTTGTTAAGCTAATTTATTTAAAGGTTTTACACAAATATATAAGAATTAAGAGAAATCTTGTAAAATAAGCTGATTTTACATGTTATTAGTGTTACATATATTTTTTAATTTTTTTGTCCCCATCATATTTTTTCATCTCCATATTTAGTTAATGTGATAAACAAACAAATATTTAAATTAAATTAAATTAATATGAAAGCTTATTAATCAATTCAAATAATCCGAATTTAAGACGATTTTAAATCTTATTCAAGCTTGACCCTAGCATAATTCAGACAAGGCGAGTTTAAGCTTAAACCTTAGCCTTTCCATGTTAGCGAATTGAGCACAAGTGCAACACCTTGGTTCCACTCATTTTCAATACCAATTAAAACTTAATTTTTATCCTTTCCAACCCTAGACTTGCCCATAATGGGCCAGACCAAATACCCAAGAAGAAGCCCACTGGGCAATCCAATTCCCTCATAAATGCCATTTGCTTCTCCTGGGAAAGGAATTCCACTCCACTGAAACAGAGCAAAGGGAAAGGGCTCTCATGCTGACTGTCATCATAGATGGATCCATCACTTTCTACGGGTGAAAATCCAGATTCCAACGAAAATAATCCTCAAGAATTTGAATCTGAATCCAATAGCAGCCCCAGTGATTCATTAGGCAAGGCTTTATCAACGATGCTGACCAATGTTATTAAGGATCTCGACTCTAAAGCTCAAAACACTCTCAATAGCCAAGACAAACTGAATTCTGCTATTGATCGTCTTACTAGAGGTAAATTCTTCTTCCTTTTTAATCTTATTATGGTCTTGTAATTCTATGCTTTTAGAGAAGGTGCTTGAGATAAGATAAGTAGCGTCTTCACCTTGGCTTTTTTCTACTTGTAATCTTTAAGTCACCTGGTTTTGTTATAAAATTTTATTTTTAGGCCTTCTTAGGTTGCTAAAATGAGACCCTTTTGATGGGTTTTTGTTTTCAAAGTGATTTATTTTCTTCTGGAGAAATGCTTTTGAGCAATTTAGAAATGGATCCAATATCATAAATGGTCAGTTTAATCTATCTCTGTAACGTGATTAGTACAAATCAACTGTTTTTTTTATGCTACTGAATACACAACGGTGATTTGATGCTAGCAATAAGTGGGATAGTTATTAGAGTTTCTCATTTTCTTTATTAATGATAATTTGATGGATTTAACATGAGTTTGTTCATGCCCACATACCTAGTTATCTTTTGGAGTATGTAATATTTAATAAAAAAATATACAGCCACAACATCTATAATTATATTGAAAGAATGGAGCAGTTCATTGAGCTCCAGTATCAAGCAGTTCAAATCAAGACGGACAAAGCTTCCCGTAGTGGATGCAATTTGAATTGGTCTTTATTCTTTTTCTGCATTGATCCTTAAGGTGTTTGATTATTCTATGTTATTGAGCATTTGAGTCTGGATCATCGATAAAAAAAATTGTGTTGTGTTTTCAGAGCTTGATCAGTTGTTGGAAGAGGCACCCTTGCCGTTTATCATGCAGCATGCAGCAAAGATTTCAGGTGTTCGAATGAGAGTTTCATCATTGAATTCTGTTCTAAAATCAATACAGAAGCGTGTTGATAATATAGACCAACTGCTATCTGTAGGCATGCTTCAGGGTACCTATATCTTTTCTTTTGTTACATGATCTATTTTTATATCATTCCTTTAAGTTTCCTCAGCTGCAAATTCTATTGTTATGTGTTAGTGCTTATATCAAAATACTTTGCAAATTTGTTTATGTAGTTTTGTTGTTGTTGCGTCACGTGTTTTGAACTCATAAAGTTGGATATAATTTGCAGGGAAGAAAACTCTGGACAGCTCATCGCAACACTAGTACTAGTGTTGAAGGCTCAGGTACCTTATTTAGTTTTGGTTTCCTATTGTGTGGTTTGTGCATCATTTTCTGCTGTAAGGGGCGGTGACTATAGGATTATGAACCAGTATATCTCCCAGAAGTTTTGCTGCTAAACTAAGGTTTACCAAATGCAAAAGCATGTGTTTTATATGTTTAGATGCCATCCAGTTCCACAAGTTAAGATCAAGGGGGAACGTTTATCAATCAATATCAACAAAACTCAGCCTTGACTCAAGGACATGCTATTAAATTCCATAGAATGTTTTGATTTTTGTTGATTTTATTGAAATTACTCTTTTGATTTATAAAATCCAGTTAATGCTCCTCTCTAATTCTACCTATATCATCAGGTTAGCTTGTAAAGGGCATCATCACGTAAAGCATTTTTCACAGAAACCATGAAAAGCCTCTCAATTTTCACCATTCTTCTGCTTGTCATCTTTCATTCTTCCAGATAAATATTTCCCATTTGGTTTTAAAACTATGTGCGAACCTCTTTTCCAAAAAATAATTAGAAGTGGAGACCTATGTAGCTATTTATTTTTACATTTGAAACTGTGTTATAGTGTGTTTTTAAAGTGAATTTGGTATAAAAAACATTAAATTTGTATTTTTTTTTAGTGTTTTCTATGATTTTGACGTACTTAATGTTAAAAATTAAAAAAAAAATTAAAAAAAACTTTATTTTAATGTATTTTTAGAGGAAAAATACTTTTGAAAAGTTATAGAGCCATTGCAGGCTTTATAGCCATCCTGCATAGCAATCATGTTTTTTTTTCTAATGACTAGCAAGGAATAGAAACTCTCATCTAACAATATTTCGATGATTTTGTAAACACAACTCCATGTAACTCACGCAAGCTTATGGTAATATATATTTGTGGATATTGTTGAATCCATGCAGGCGAGGAGGAGAACGTTGAAGGTGGTTCTAGCCTTCAGAAGCTATGGGGAGGTGGCTGCAATGAGTTACAATGCCATGCTGCTTGTGTACAAAAAAGACTGGCAGAAGGTGCTCATGGGTTTTGCTTGACAATTGAAAACCCTAGTGACTCTTGTATTTGTCGTTACCCTTGCTAAAAAAGTTGCCAACATATTTATGCTTCATTGAATTTTATCCCTCGAAGGAGCTGATGTTAAACTGAATGCAATAACTTTTCATAAGAAAATTGCATTGTAATGGTAAATCTAATTTAAAATCAATTCAAGAATATTATTATTATTATTATTATTATTATTATGTTAATACAGCAACATTTATTGTTCTAATTATTAAAAAATTATATAAATTAATTTTTTTTTAATATGATATTAGAGTGCTGATATTTCAGTAGTGGTTACGAGATAATATTTTATTATTTTATTTTATTCAATAAAAATTAAATATAAAATATTGTAATTTTAAACAAATTTCAAGCTCATTCTACTCTATTTAATAAAAATAAATTTATATAAGTTTGAAATGTTTTCATTTAATAAAGAAAAATAAATATATACAAGTTTGAAAAGTTTTTATTCAAGAAATATAAAAAATAGTTATACGAAAGACTATTATATGTTTGGGGTAACCTATTTACTTCTTTTTTTTGAGAAATAACATATTTTTCATAGCATGAAGGGTAAATAAAAAATTAGCCCAAACATTTCAAAAAATAAACAACAAAATGCTAGAAAAATAATATTTTTAAAAAATAAATAAAAATTCAAAATAAATAAGATTTTACTTTTTCTTTATTTTTTTAAAAATATTATTTTTCTAGCATTTTGTTTCTTATTTTTTTATTTATTGAGAAATAACATATTTTTCATAGCATGAAGAGTAAATAAAAAATTAGCCGTAGGCAGGCCTAGAACCCGTTCCCCCAAGAGATTTTTCTGAAGTTGGGCTTAACAAACCCACGAAACCTCCAAACCCTAAAAACCCTAATATCCCTCTTTAAATACACCCTCCGTTTCTTGTTCTGTCACACAAACCTGCCCTCAGGTCATCTCTCTGTTTTTGCTACATCAACCGTGTCTTTCTCTTACATTAACTTTTTTCTTTGTAATGTTGTGATACGTTTTGATAAAGAAGAAAATGATGATAGTCATTGTCGCCCCAGTCTTACAAGTATCAACTCTTTGATGCTTGATGGTGTTTGACTACTCATATATCTGATTCTCTTCTTCACATAATATTTTTGTCCTTCGGCTTTTGATTTATTGTTCAAGTACTGCTTGTTGAGCATTCAAGAAAGAAAATATGATGATGCTTATCATAGTAAATTCTGTCATCAAACTACCATGATGATCTCAAAAACATGCACTACCATCTGATTTCTCTTGCATCCTTTTGCTCTTTTCTTGTTTCTTTTTTACTATATAAATCTCTTCTTGAGATAAAAAATTTTGGTTTTTCAAACGTTTTTATGCAATCTGTGATGTAATTACTTACCCAGTAACTGATTTTACAGTGATTAACATATTTTACAATCACCATCTTTCGACTGAGATTGCATAATTACAAGACAAAACTCTGTGATTTGATTTATCTATGCCTGAGGTATCTAATGCCTAGATTTCATTTACATGGCTAGGTGTTTCGTAAAGAAGGCAGAAAGAAAACTATAAGAACAGGTCTTGCGACACAGTTTGCTTCTTATAATAAGCTTGCTGTTACTTTAACCCTGTTCACATTCTCTTTCTCTGGATAGGAAATCTATCCCAAAAATTGACAGTTCTTCCTTGGATTGGAAGTGTGAGATTAGGTATTGAAAAGAAGAAATTGACCATCCCATTATTATTATTATTCACAAAAGCATGTGAAATTTCCTTGCTCAAATAACAAAATGAAGGTACAAATCCTGTTAGAATGCAATCTTACCTCATTCAAAAGGAAATAAACGGGACAGGTTTTTTTCTCTTCACTTGCAAAGAACAATTGTAAATCTCCAGAGCACTTGAAAATGTGAGTGATGATTCGGAATTTGTTCCTTAACATGTACTAAAAATTGTTACTGCAATGAAAAAAGGAACTAGATGGGGCAGGTTTTTTTCTCCCCGGTACTTGTCTCGGCAAAGAACAATTGTAAAATCCCATAATACTTAAAAATGAGTGGTGATTTGGAAGTTGCAACTCAATATGTACTGCAAGGAAAATCAGTTTTATACCTTAAGAGGAGTAAAACACAAGTAACTTGAGTTCAGGAACAGGATATTGTTCTTTACAAAAGATGGTATAGTTTGACTAGGTTAAAACCAGTGAACTAGTTACAATTGGACAGTGGGAATGCTATGATTTATGTGGAGAATTGTTGACCTATTCTGGTATTCTAGTTCTATGCGGCAAAGAACAATTGTAAAATCCCATAATACTTAAAATGGGTGGTGATTTGGAAGTTGCAACTCAATATGTACTGCAAGGAAAATCAGTTTTATACCTTAAGAGGAGTAAAACACAAGTAACTAGAGTTCAGGAACAGGATGTTGCTCTTCTTTACAAAAGATGGTATAGTTTGACTAGGTTAAAACCAGTGAACTAGTTACAGTTGGAATGCTATGATTTATGTGGAGAATTGGTGACCTATTCTGGTATTCTAGTTCTATGCAATTGCACTAACGCACATTTCAAAACAAAATGGTCGTAACTATTGCTGTATCAACATTTGATAAAACCAGAGTTACCACCAGTTATCAAGGTCCCTTCTTACAGGCCCTTGGCAGTCCCTTCCTTAACCTCTTTAAATCTCGCTTGCCATCCCTCTCGGTTTGATTAGAATCTTCATCGCTAATACCTATTACAAACCAAGTATCAGAAACAGAATCGATATGGTAACTGGTCACCAGTAAACCTGGAACAATTTAACACCGTTTGACATTAGCATAACCAAAAATGGTTAAAATGCGGTTTGTTCATTGAATCAAGCATCATATTTTAACTGCACAGTGAACATCATAAAAATAGCTTATTTTTCCATAACATATCAGAAGTGATAGAGTGAAAGTACACCAAGAATTGGATACTAACATACTGAAATCCAAGCATACTTTCATGAATCGATGCACTAAAAGAAAAGGGATAAAAAAAGAGAAACAAAGACAAGCAATGTGATTGCAAAAAACAAAATTTCCATTAGTGTAGGCCATCCCAGAAGATATTTTAATTATCTGGCGCAGCACAAAATTTATTAATAAAAGACTTTGATGGCTTACCATCTGAACTGATCATAGCATCATCGTCAACATCTTTTATATCCTGTCTAGTTTGTTTTGCAGACACTGTGATCACCCCACGATCAACCTTTTGCTCCGGAATTTCACATGATCCATTGAAAGGACCCATATAACAAAACCTGTTACAATAGAACCTTACAGTTAAAAAAAGATGCATTATCACCTGTTCAACAAAAACAAGCATACAATCCATGGACACCAAGATGCATATAAATGCAGACCAATCCTTCTCATAATGAACGCAAGTACATGCATGTCTGCTAATATTGTTCAATAAAATCTCCAGGTTGCATACTAAGTCACCATTTTTGTTCATCCAAATAAACTTTATATAGGTAGCATAAGATGACATTCATTGTTTCCTCTGCAGGGAAGAGCCAATGCATAATACAAACAGAATATGCAGGAAAAGAAAAAATTGTCGCCAACAGATGACAACAGGTAAGGACACAGGAGGAGCTGAAGGCATGTAAAGACAATGTCGCATCCAATTGAAAAGGACAACATTGTCACATTAAGCAAAGATCTATTATGGTGAGATGAATATTGGGGACCAGAAAAGACTTTTCCCTTTACAGCGGAGCATACTCCTGGAGTGTGATAGCAAGCCTCTCCCTGGTTGACAGCATCCAGGACAAGGGGGTATCAGTCAACCATCCACCCTCAAGATTCAAATTTGATGAATTGATCTCCTTGTCCTGCCAGGTCGCAAACTATATTCTACCAAGGCGCAATGAAAATTCAAAACATTCCCAACAAAAGAAATGGATCCAGCTCTCCTATACAACCACAAAGTTACTACAAAATTGACCTGGCTGATAGAAGGAATCGCAGCCTTCACCACATAGAATAGCCAAAAAAAAGGCAAAAGACATCCTCCTGTCTTTTGACACAAGTATTTCTCCAAAAGAGTATTGGATAATAATGAATCATGCTATACAAGACAAGCACAAGAAAGAGCATTCAAGGATATGAATGAATGATCTACTGTGAACAAATGAACAGTAAAACATATGATGAAATGCAATTACCATTCTTCAGGTAATGTTTTAACATCAAACCCCGAACTCAACATCCTCCACTTCCTGCACTTATCACACTGCACCCATTCGTGGTCAGGTTTGTACAGGGAACCACCTTTTTTCTGGAGAAGTAAAGAGTACATAAATGAAACATGTCTAGGGAAACTGGAAAAAAAATAAGGAAATCCATAAAGATTCATTAAGAACACGCTATGAGTGAATGTAAAAAAATGGGGAAACTGACAAGAAAAAGTTCTTGCCACACTATTCAATATTTGAATCAATCCCAAATCTAAGATTGTTTCATTTTAAAAATACATGGCAACCAGTCATTGCAAATCAAAAGATAGTTCATCTTCCCAATACATAACCTCTATGCTTGCTGGTTACTACTGAAATTTGGAGGACAAAAGTGTCTAGAAGAAATAAACAACATTTTTCTCAAATAGATTATAGAAGAAAGTAGAACAAGGCAACAAGCTGCATGTCTAAAATAGAATGTCCCCACTATATATCACCAGGCCACTTGAGTCAATTTCTTAGTTGGATAGCAACACAGTAAGCCTGTTATGTCGCATCATCAACCCACCATTCAGACATTTTTCAAAGAGACTTGAAAACTATTTTCCCAGCAATCGACTAATCCATCTTTGTCAGACTATGTTTGTTTCATTCATTGTTATATTTGGCAAAATAAAGTGTTCTACATATGCCATATATCTTCTAAAATCTTTTAAGAGCATCCATCAGTATGATGAAGGTTGCATTTTGATGAAAGAAACTTCTAAAAGAACATATACACAGAAAATCAGTGGCGGAAAACTGATCTCATAATTGTTTTTTTTTTTAAATCCAACAATAAATAAAAGGTCCTTACCAACTTCAGCGTTTCAAAATTATTAGTCCAATACTCATCTGCCTTCACTCCCAGCCACGCCTCTAGTCGAGCATATGGTTCACAATCAAGGAAAGATTGCTTGGCATTATGCACGCCCACCCGGCCATTTCCTTCATTCTGTTCCAGTTTGCCAAAATAGGTTTATCAGTTGAAATGAACAGATTCGTGACATACACATATCCTTGGTTTTATCAACCAGCTTTTGGTTAATTAATAGAGTTAGATTTCAGTTTCAATTTCCACAAAATCAGAAAACTAAAAACATAAGCCCACCATCATAGCTACAGAAAGCTGAAAACTTCAGTTGGTGCTATAATAATACCAGCATCATTATCTTCTCATGCATCCTATAAAATGAATGCAAGTTGGAGGCAAGGGCATTCAAGATCTTGTATGAACAGATATACCAAATTTTCTTGTAAGCATAATATCCATATTATTACTTTGTATGTATAAAACAGGACCATGAACTCCAAATTTCTGCTCTGTTTGTATCCATGCAACATAGCACTCCATGCACAATTAAATTTTATTTGTAAACTTCAAGTATTTATCCCAGACTTTCAACGACTAGAAAAGAGTAAAGGTATCCAGGCTCATTTTAGATTACCAAACATAATAGTGTTGCAAGAAATATATGTCTACATGTCCTTCAAACCAATCGAGACCAAATGCAGTCTAAGAAAGCAAGTCTTCTTGCAAGCATCTCTATCCTGTACCAAACGTGCAATGGGAAATAGAACATACAAATAAGCTAAACAACTGAAAATATCTAAAAAGAAACATTGCTACCATTAAATCAGTAACATCAATGACACCAATCACGCCTCTACCCCAATCTCCATTGTGAATCATGCCACCAACTCTCTTATAGGCCTACAGTGGGAAGACAAATGTCAGATTGAAACAATGAAACCTGACGGCACATTAATAAAAGGAATGCGTTGGAATTGATTTGAGATTATAAGGGAAAAAGAATCCTGCCCCAGGAAGAAATGGAAAGGCAACTATAATCATATATAAAAATCTGTTTAAAAACCAAATTCAAGAGCATTCATGATTAGCATCTCCCTTCCGGTTAGAAAGAGAGAGGTCCCTGTTAACATAACTTTTTGGACAGTTAATATAATGTAAACTTGAAACTCAGCTATAGAAATATTGGAAGCCCTAGCAAACTGATTAACCATGAAAAATGATTCCAAGGAACAGAAAGGTAATATACATTTCAATGAGCATCATAAAATGCAAACCAAAGCTCGATTGGCTCCAATGTCATTAAAGAAGATAGGTGAAAGGACGAGAAAAGTGAAAACACACAAGAAGGCATGTCACAAGTTGTAAAGAATGGAAAAAGTTACATCATAAAACAGAAATTCACCTCAATTAATCGACCATGCCAATACAAAAATATTCCACAATTTGCCTGCTCAAATTCCAACTGAGAGCGACCAAGAGTTAAATGAACACGTTTCCCCATGATGCTACCAGTTGCTTCCGAAGTCTGATTCAAATATTTTGCCAGTGGTCGACTTTTAACCTTCTCAAAAGATAATGACCAATATGAAATGAGAAAGGTAAATAGTTAATAACAGACACTACCTAAGAACCAAGAGATCTTATTAACAAGCACATACCAATGAACCTTGCAGATAAATCCTTATTCGTGGAACTAAGAAGATGACTTCAAGATATGACCTAAGTGAGTAATCTAAAAAAACCTAGAATTAAAGAAAACACAAGATAAGTGAGATTGAATATAGAGCATAGACATTGAGGCACATGGTGTGCATTTGCATACATATTTCCCGACACAATGTGACATGCATGGCAATTATAGTGTAAATGATGAGAGAGTAAAACAATTGTAAGAAAAAAAAGGGCGAAAGAAGAGAATTTCTGCGATAACAGATTTTCAGAATTTTAAGAGTGATGGAAAAAAGAAAGTGAGAAATTTCAAAATCATACCATCTCATATTATCAGTAGTTTTATACAATGTTCTTGTTAATTATCTATTGACCGCAAAGCAAAGTTCATCGCAAACCAAAGCTACTTGTTTTATACTTGTTTCTAAGAGTGAAAACAAAGAATTTCTGCAGTAACAGGTCTTCTGAAAGAGTGATGGAAAAAAGAAAGTGAGAAATTTCAAAACCATGCCATTTCAAATTAGCAGTAGTTTTATATAATGTTCTTGTTAATTATCCATTGACTATGAAGCAAAGTTCATCGCAAACCAAAGCTACTTGTTTCTACTTCACTATCAAACTAAATCAAGAGAAGAGAATACACTACCGTTTTGCTAATCTGGCCAGGACGAGATCTGAGCCTTCTAGAACGGACCAGAATGTCACCTTTATGAAAGGAGCTCCCACCAGTCAATCCACGATCCCATTCCAAACAATATTGTGATCCCCATTCATCTAAGTTCCATATGAAAATTTGTGTCCCTGTACGGTTTTCACGGAATAAACCTGCTTTTGCACCAATCAAATATTTATCAAAAGGCGAAAATTCCTTAATAACTTTCAGGTTGTACTTTGCTAAAGCTTCCGACTGGACACTAGTGTCAACTTCCATAAACTGTCCTTTTCTGCGGTAGCTTACAATGGGTATCTCAAGATTCTGCAGAATAAAAAATTAAGGTGACAAAACAAATATTAAAGCTAATTAACACATAAAAACAGAAGTAGGTCACTGCGTACATCTTTTCCTTCATTTAAAGATTGTGAAAGAAAGGCTATGGATCTGGAATCATTAGTCTGAGTTATAACCAGAGCATCCCTGCCTAATCTCATTGCTCCAGTCTGAGAAACCCACATCCAGATGATTGCATAGGTGTTAGTAGTTGATAAATACAATTTACAGGCACTTACAACAATTTAGTACTAGAACCGCAAACATAAAAGCAAGAAAGGCTACCTTAAATCCAACACCAAATCTTCCAATGCGATCTGGATCATCGGCCTCAGGTTTCTTGTGCCCAAAACAAACCATTTTCTCTACCTCTTGATGGATCATGCCATGACCATCATCTATAACTGACAGCATAGGAATTTCTTTGCCAGCTCTTTTTGAATATATTTCCTCAATAGAAATGTCCAGTCTGTCAAAAATAAGCCAAGAGATTAGAAGCACATCTAACAAAATCAATAACACAATGAAACCAAGACAATTCAAATGCAAATGTACAAATTAAAATTTATGTATATGAAAGAAGAGGAAAAGAAATAATTGACCAACTTGCTCAATTTAAATTACCTAGTTGCTTCAGCATCCCTGGAATTATCAACAAGCTCAGCTATTGCACCAAAAATCCATGCATAATGCACTTGACCAAGAGTTTCCAGGTAGCTTGGATGTGCCTGAGCATAATTTTTCTCTGATGGTGGAACCTGTTTCGCAGCAAGAGGCTGGTGTCTCTGACAAGTTTCAGTTGCAGTATTGCCACGATGGTGATCTTCGAGAGAGCCTTGAAACCTGTCACTAGGAGAGCCATTATCTTCACAGTGTTCTTGACCATCATTCCCACTGCATGTTTTCTCCACCCGATAAACAACTTGGACATGGCTAAAATTTGAGTCTTCATCAGGAGGAAGTATGTAGAATTGACAGGACTTAACTTTTGCAATTCCAACCTACAAAAGTTATGGTGTCAGTTCTATAAGTTATGCTTCAGGGAACAAAACATAACACACCAATAGTGATAAATTTAACTCAATCAACATAAAAAGTAAGCCTCATTTTTCCAAACTGGTAGAAGTTAACCCTATGGACTTTGCTTTCTCCATTTCGCATGCACAGATAAAGACTACTTTCTAAATTTTACTACAGAAAGATCAATGGTTGTAGTGCTCCTTTACTCAGAGAAAAGTTGAAATTTAGAGAAAAATACCCATTGGGAGGGGGGGAAAGAAAAACAGTTAAAGGAAGCTAAAATATCAAGACTGAATAAATTTCATCCAGAAAATAATGATCAATGTTGGCATCTGCAACAGTGTATTACATAGTAAATTGCAAGTATGTATTTCTACTATGGGAGGAAATTTGTGCCACGAGTCAGTCGAGGTAAAATCATTTGGACAACTGTCAACTCAAACGCAACAGATCAAATATTCACATCAAAACCTGACACAAGCATGACTTATTTATCAAACAGGTACCATGAGAATCCAAGAAATCCATTTGATAAACCAGTATGTGTCAGTTTGGCACACCTATTTAACACAAAATAATGGTCTCCGTTTATTTTTCAGTTTATATATTAGTTACACAAGGAAAGTGCACCACTAGCATTCCAACTGTAGTTATTTGAGTGACCCCATGCTATCGATCTATGGCTCAAATTTAGATAACTAGCAAAAAATTCAATTTACATTTTTTTTTTTGGCTAGTACAGGGTAAGTATGTTCAGATGGATAAGTCATTAAAATTATTAACAGGTCAAGACATGTTTCCAGTCTTGAAATAATAGGCAGCCCTTACCGAGTCTTTCTTTCGAAGATAAGTCAAAAATCTGCACCATTCAGATCTGTCACGAGAAGACTCTGGAGCAGGACTCAAAAAGCAACTAGGCAGATCACCAAGGATATGTACCCTGGCTCTTGGAACTATATCACTTAAACTCCAGCATTTTGGCCTGACAATTATCTATCAGTCAGAAAATTCAAATTTCTATTCATCAACACTATTGGATAAGTTCAGATGTTGAATCGAACAAGTATATCTATTCAGTGATTTGCACTTACAATAAAAAAAGGTAATGGCATGATAACAAAAAATATAAAACAAATACCCCTTTTAACAGCAGAATTCCTGCAGAGAACTAAGCAATTACCTGACTATAACAACCTGGAATATGAGCATTCGAAAAGAAAAGTCAGTTTCTCGTATTAGTATTATCACCCGGATGGTCGCTCTTGTTAATTCATGATCAATACATGGTTGAACACTAGCAAAATGACCTGTCTTTTTCTTGTATTTTCTCTGCCTGATTCTATAGGACAAGCCTTTTGCTTTAGTCTTGTTTTTCCTTTTTACAGATAAATATCTTTTTACACAGAAATGACTCAAAGTACAGCAGACCATAACCAACCATTACGGTATACAGTGAGCCCCGGATTCTACCTACTAATGATGTGGTGATGAATCGCGGTTAATTACACTCCAGAACAAGTTTAGAAAATAGTATCAAAAAAAAAATGACCAGAGAATGAGCACATACAGTTCTGCAGGAGGCTTTAGGCACTGTGTCCGGCATATAGGTTTGTTGTCTTTCATAAGCAAAACGTACGGGTCTGGAAAATCAAAATTACCATGTCAACACAGACTTCATGCAAAGAAACCTTCCAGATGCAGAAATAAGAATTTCTGAATCCAAAACACAGCTTCTATATAGTATTTAAATACATTGTTCATATTGACTTGGCACTTACAGGGCACTTGCCACTTTCATCACTCATTTGTATTTTAAATATCAACACAACAAACACCAACACGGGTACGCTCTATCACGTAACAAAATTGGCTTTTATTACAGAAATGGATAAAAACTAACCTGGAGCCAGATTTGCTTCTCCCATTTATAAACCTGCCAAATCAAACCAAATGCCAAGCATAAGATAATGGAATGTTAAACCAAAAACAACAGCACAAGCAAACAACATTGTTAAGAACTACAAACAAACGACAGCATCAACTATTCTCCGAAATGGTGCACAGTCAACTGGCATCCCTTCAAGCCATTTCTTCAGAAATTCTTGAAAATAAACTGAAACTTCCCAACTTCGAACAAATAAACTTTCTTTACTTTTCTTAACCATAAAGGAATCAGCATTGAATTTCCATAAGATGATTAACCTGTTTTCAATCGTTGCCAGATACACAGAGAACCAAACTATTCGAGCACAATCACAACTTCCACAAAGGAATACACAGAGAACCAAACTAGAATTCGAGCACAATCACAACTTCCACAAAGGTTTGTCATTGAGCTTTAACAACAAATTAATAGTATCACTGCATGAAATATCAATTTAATGCATATCATATGCGTATGAATAGAACAAAAGGCATAGAATAAATGAATCCATCTATACAATCACATTATATTAATTTCAATAAATCCTCACCCAAACACAAGAAACCTAATTACTCATAATCCAGATAAAAATCATATTTTAAGTAATAACAACGTCTAAAACACCAAATGTAGTAATCAAACTCGCAATTTTCCAATTTTGGTATACGGTCACTTAGAAACCCTAAATGTAAAGGCAAGTATACATGCAAAAAAATCAAAATGTAGCACCATGCAATCCCATTCTGAAAGAATAAAAAAATATTACGACTGATTTAAAAAAAAAAAATCAAAAACCCTAGACTAAGCCAGTTGCAATACAGAAGCTAACTTGCTAGGAAAATCAAAATCCTCCTCCTCTCTCTTTCTGAAGAAAAACCTTCTCGCTTAATATTTTCGGATACGTAGAGAGTGTGATCGTCGAGAAACACTAAAATTAGTTTTAAAAAATTGATACTTTGAGAACTAAGAAGTTAGAAAGAAACAAAAACAAGAAGCTAAGGAGGTTTTTACTAACTACTAATGCTGCTAACAGAGAAAAGAAGACAACTTTAAATAACTAACCGGGAAAGGAAGATACGTGAGGAAGAGAGTGAGAGAGGAAGAGGGAGAGTAGAAACAGAGGAGAGTGTAGGCACCGTTCAGTGCGGCGTTTTTCCTGAGTAGTGGCGGTGGTGGTGGTGGTGGTGGTGGTGGAGAAAGTACACGTCCTGCTGGCTGTTTTGTCTTTGTTTCGAAAGGGACCGGAGGGGAAAGAGATTTGAGGGCGCTGTTTTTTTTTTTTGGATTGAATAATTGGTGGGCGGTGACAGTGAGTAATTTTAAACATTTTCTTAAGTCTTAAGGTATATTTTTTCATCCCGGTGATGAAATATAAGCTTAAATAATTTTTTTTATTTTATATAAAAAGACAAGCAAAAAAAATAAGATAATTTTATTATTTTTAATGTGTTATAAATTTTATTATATTATTATTATTTTTTTTATTATAAATTTTTTTAATAATATTAAAGAAACTACACTCTCGGCTTTCATTATGAGGTGATAAGAAAGTTATACCCTTTAATTTTTCATAAGTTTTTTATTTAAAAAAATTAGATAGAGGTTATATATGAGAAATAAAAAATAATAATATTTTATTTTATTTTTTATTATTTTCCACTTTAAAGATGAGAAAAGATAGTTATTTTTTTCATTTATTTAAAAGTTATTAAATTAAATGTTTTTCTTGTAAGACTAGAACACACATGATGAATAAATTGGTTGCTTGATGAGAGTAATTTTAATGGAAAATGATTTTAATATAAAGTGGATTATTAAAAATAAATTATTATTTTATATTTAATAATTTATAAAAATTGAGATGAAAACGCTTAAATGTTTTGGCCATAACATAGAAAAAAATAAAAAATCATTTATTAATGTTTTTTTGAAGTTCATATGTGCATGGAAAATTACATGTAATTGTCTTATCACATAATTTAATAAAAATAATAATAAGATATAAAAAAAGTGCAACAATGAAAAAAAAATTATCATAACTATATTTATATGTAGTTTTTTTTTACAAGATGTAAATATTTTAAATATAATATCATAGACAATTATACATTTGTTGGTTTATGGTGACCATTAAAATTATTTTTTTTATTATATCCTAATTTCATAACACAATTCATATGATTTAAAATATATAATTATTGTATAATAAGATATGTTTTGTATTTGAATGTATTTTTTAGCAATATAATCTAAATTAAAGCATCATGTGCACTAATATATCATATTAATATACTTGTATATTGTATATTAATATATATTAATATATTATTTTCTATATAAATATACTATTAAATTATTATTTTCTGATAATATTGTATCTGGAAGCATTTTATCGATATATGTGTGTTTGTATATAAATAAAAATAATCAAGAATTGTTTCATTTTAGTTTTTATATCTTTCATGAAAAGTATTTTTCAGATTTTTAAACCATAAAATGTTTTTTTCATCTAAAAATTATATTTTTATTTAGTTAAAAGTGAGTTTCATTGATGAATTTTACACAATATAATAAACACTAGTTGCTATGCCTTCATGTTAGTGTTGGTTTATTACATGCTTGTACATTGTCATAAATTTATAAAAATATTATAACAAAAAAATTAAGCGGTAAAATATTTTAGTAATTAATAATGTTTTTTTAAAAAAATTATAAAGTTTGATTTTCATCCCGCTTGGCATGAAAAAAATAAATTTTAAAAGGATAATTTTAGAAAAAAATCGATAAAAAAAACATGAAAAAATATCGCAACAATCAGTAGCGTTTTAAAGAAAAAAACTATAAAGTTAAATTTTCAATCAGCTCTATATGGAAAAAAAAATTGACAAAGATAATTTTAGAAAAAAATTGATAAATATGAAAAAATATTATAGGAATGCGGGGAAACACTGTAGTAACCCACAATAAAACTATAAAGCTAAATTTTCAATCAGCTTAATATTAAAAAAATAAAATCAATAAAAATAATTATGAAAAAAAAACACCAAAACAAGAGATATTTTTGGAAAAAAAACAAAAAACAAAAAATAAAAAAGCAAAGAAAAAAACATACGGGGAAAACTAGAGCTAAATTCTCAATCAGCTAAATATTATAAAAATAAATTCAATAAAGATAATTTAAAAAAATATGTGAAGAAATATTGTATCAAAACAAAAACCATGCGGGGAAAATATTATAGTAATTTATAATTTTTTAATAAAAAAATATAAAATTAAATTCTCAACTAGCTTGATATAAAAAAAAATGATCATCATAAAAAAAAATATTGGACAGGTTGTTGGGAATTTGATTTTGGAATTTTTTTGGATCCATTTTTTTTTCAATCTATTTTCACTTAAAAACACTTTATAAATATTATTATTAGGTTAATAAATCAATCTCTCATCTTAAAACATCAATAAATTAGTCCAAAAAAATAAAATAAAAAATCGTTTTCAATCCCAATTTATCTTTTCAAGCAAGCTAAAGATTTAAAAACATCTCCATACAGGAAAATATTATAAAAATTTATAATTTTTTAAATGATAAAGTTAAATTTTTAATCAGTTGAATATTCAAAAAAATCAATAAAAATAATTTTAAAAAATAAAAATTTATTTGTTTTAAAAAATTCAGTCATGAGAAAAAAAAACTAAAAATATTAGTATAATAAAAATAAAAGGTACGGGGAAAACTGAAAACTAAGTACTTTCCCGGTATTGATAATAATAAAAATTCAGGAAAGTGCTTTGCATAAATAAATAAAAAAGAAAGAAAGAAAGAAAAAACCAAACAAGGCCTATGTTGTATGAAACTCTCATGGGCGCGCAAACTCGTCTTTGAAATCATTATCCTTTCCAGCACTTCGCAGCCATATTGAATTTCTTTAGAAATCTCAGGATTCGAATCGATAAAAATTAAAATTATGTGGCTTGAATTGAAAATATATTGAATCTATTAACTATTAATTTAAAACGCACAGGAAATCCACATGCAAAATGTAGAGCGAATCCCCTTGTACGGTGCAGTGGATGGACTGTTTATAATGCATTTTTTCTTTTTCTTTATTAATTGAACCAAGAAGTAATGTGATTGAAAAATAAGGAAACAAAATAAAAAACACGGAATGAAGGAATGAGTGGTTTTAACAAAGTTCAATAAAAATATTTATTGTAGTCGTTGTATTTTTAAAATTATAAATATCATGTTCGTTTATTTTTTAAAATTTAAAGGAAAAATTAATTTTTATCTCAAATTTTATTTATTTTATTTTTTTAACCCCTTGTTCAAGAGAAGTTAGAGAAAATTAAATTTATTGCTAGAAAGAGAAGATTTTTGTTGGGATGGATTCTAGCCATTAAAAAAATCAATATTTATATTGTATTTTTTAATTTAATGAGTTTTAACTTGAAACTATATAAAAAAAGATATGAGTTTGGTAAGATTTTTTGTTTTTATTTTTAAGAGATTTTTTTTGTTTGTTTTTTTAGACTATAAATAAATTTATAAAGTTACATACGATGTCTTGGGTTGAAAAATCGATTTTAGATAAAAAAAAAAACTTATGTTCTATTTTTTCAATTGTTGCGATGTCAAAAAATTAGGCAGTATCACATGACAAGTTGTCTTATTTATTTATTTTATCTAAATAATTTAGGGCTGGTGATCCCAAGCACACAAGCCAGAAAATTAAGAATCCAAGCACACAAGCCCCCGCATGACCTAGCATGCCAAGCTCAACAATATCTATTTTTTTTAATGTATTTTTTAATTAATGCCTTTATATATATTTTTTAAAAATAATTTAAAAATTTATATGTAAATTAATACATCTTCTTTCTTTTATCTTTGTTATTTAGATTCTTTTAAATAATATTTTTTTAGTTATTTTGTATGCATTTAGTTTTTTAAGATATTATTTTAATTCATCTATAATTTTTTATATAAATAAAATTTATTTTAAAAAATTAATAAAATTTATTTTTAGATAATATTTTTAATATGTGTAACATTGCAATTTTTTTTTTCTTTTTATTTTATTTAATTAATTTCACGTGTGTCTATTTTATTATCATTTAATCAAATAAAAAATCAATTTTTGTGAATAAAATTGTTAAACACAACTGTCTCAGAGATCCATTGTGAGACCGAATATTCTTGTTTATATCTGACTTTCAACTTTTAAATTTTTATTTTTATTTATTGTTAATAATTTTTTATTTATTTATTAACACATAATTTTCAATTTAAAAATTATCATAAGCTTTTTGATTTTGATTTTCATATAAAAACATGTTGAAAAATATTGTGTGTGTGTATATATATATATATATATATCCACAATAAAAACACATGTTAAATAACTAGTAATTATTCAAGGATATATGAAGGCCATCGAAATTACGAGAAAAAGAAGAATAAATCAGGTCAGAGGCCCATCTGCCTTCACATTATGCAATTGTTTTCTGTGCAGCGGTCCAGAATTAGAAACCGCTAAAAAGGGCATGAAGTTAAAATCTATGCCAATGTTGTGTTAATTAAGCGGATGAATGCTTATTAACTCCAAAATCTATGCTAATGTTGTGTTAATTAAGTATATTTTTCATACAAATCATATATTTGGGTGGGAGGTATGGTTGCTTTTTTCTATTAATAAAAATACAATCTTTTTAAAGCACAAACCATACTTTTTAAAAGCAAAAAATATATATATTTTATTTTAAAAAAACCACCACACCTCCACCCAAGAAAAAGAAAAAAAAAAAAAAAGAACAAATATTATTAATATTATCAAATTGATGGCGCCAATTTTATTAAATGCATCCCAATACCAAACCTGTTTGGAAACGTGTACATGTATATTTTTTTAAATCAATGATCTAAAGGTCAAATGCAAGTTGGCTCTTGCCTGACTCGTGCTGGATGATCAAAACCTCAGAGGGCTTCCTGTCCTTGCAGAGATTCTATCTCAATCATTGAGCTGTGTCAATGACATGGAGCAAATAATTATGCAAGGAGAATACATTCCATTATGGACACCTTGATAGGTGGAAGAAAGATGTAGAAACTAAATTTATAATGATGTATGAGGCGTCAACATAATTGACCAGAAATGATTTTTCCACTCATGATATGAACATGGTCTTGATTCTTTCCTATGGACTTTATGATCTCAACAATTATTAATTATTTATTGAATATTTCTCAACGAATTCCTTATAATTAATATCATACAATATCGGTAG